GCAACCACTGTGGAAATCAGTGTGGAGATTCCTCAAAAAAATAAAAAACTACGGGTTCCATTTGATCCAGCTATTCCCCTTCTGAGAATCTTCCTGAAAGAATTAAAAGCATTGTACCACAGTGATATATGCACATTCATGTTTTAGTGGCACAGTTTGTAATAGCTAAATCTTGGAAAGAGCCCAAATGTCCATCAACTGATGAGTGTATAAAGATGATGTGGTTTTTTATACAATGAAGTACTGCTCTGCCATAAAGAAGGATAAGCTTGAGACATTTCTAGCTAAATGAATGCACCTTGAGACCATACTCTTAAGTGAAATAAATTGGACACACATTTTAAAATACCACATTTTTTATCTGGTGTGAAAAACCAAAAGTGGAAATAAGTACCAAAATGTGTAATAGATATTGGCAAATGGAAAGAAAATGTTCAAATGAGAAGAGGAACAGGGCGGGGGTAGCAGGAAAGGAAAGAAGGGACAAGAAAAAAAAAGAAAAAATGAAAATGAAGGTGTTGTAAATAAAGAGACGAAGAGGGGTCGAAGGAAAGGGGGAATGGGAAAAAAGAAACAGCAAGATATATCATGTACAGTTGCAAATTCCCTATGATGAATGTTATCATTATGTATATCTAAAATGTATCAATAAACGCTTTGCCTTAAAAAAAAGTTTACTTTGGATCACAGTTTTTGGAGAGACCTGTTCATGACTGATTGGCTCCACTGCTTTTTTGGCTATGGTGAGGGAGCACATCATGATAGGGGGCAAAACCTGAAACTATTCACCTCACTGCTGGGAAGTGAAACAGGACTTGAGCAGGGGGCTGGAGTTCCACTGTCCACGAGTTTCTCCCTCAAGGGCATGCCCCAGTGACCTAAAGGCCTCTCATTAGGCCACACCTCTTAAGGTTCCTAGCAGCTCTCAATATCTCCATGGTAGGGACCAAGCCTTTAGCACGAGAACCTGTGGAGGACCCCTTAATACGAAAACCATAGAATTCTGTTACTCATTTTGAGGATCATTCTCTACATTCTCATTTAACTGGTAACTATAGCCCCTCCTCTAATTTTACAATTTCAAGACTCCCACTCTTCAATTGGTTTTTTCTCTTTCTAGGTTATTTCCTATAGGAAACTCCAAACTCCAACAATTATTCAACCTCATCAGAGACACCAATCTAGATACACTATCATCTTTTCACTGATTCTCACCCCCTTACTTTTTCTGTATGTGCGGTAATGAGGATTGAACCTAGGGCCTTGTGCATGCTAGGCAAGCACTCTACCACTGAGCTATACCACCAGACCCTTAATCTGACTTCTTACCACACCTGAGATTATAATGCCTCCTTTGCTTCTACCCTCAACTATTTTGCCCTTTCCTCTCCATTATATTTGCCTGGCCAAATCTCAGTCCTACTGAGTGCTAAAACTGCTTGCTTAGTGCCCGGAGATGAACAATGAATAAGGCACAACTAACTAGTCTCTACAAATTCATGACCACTCACTGAAAGGTGTCCTTATAGTGCCTAGAAACCTTACTTTGATCCCTAGTCAGTTCACTCCCCATCACTCATAGCTCCTATTTTAACCTGTCTTCTCTTTTTATTTTTAGTTAATGACTAAGATAGCTAGAGTAGGCTAACCTGCTACAACAAATGCACCTCAAAAGGTTATAGTTCCAACTCAACAGAAATGTATATGCTGCTCACATAATGGAGTGTTCCCAGTGCCTGGTGCCCTTTATCCAGCACCTTCTTCCTTGTGGCTCTGCTAACCCTAAGGGCTTGTACTCATCTGTATAATTAAAGCACAGGTGCCTTGTCCAGGGTCCAGGTGGCAGAAAGAGTAAACCAATTGTTATGGTTTAGTTCAAGAATGACCCCCAAACTCTCATGCACCCAGAGGTTTGGCTTTCGGTTTGGATCATGGGGGTGCCATAGCTGAATGTGCTGTTAGGAGATGGGATACAGTCAGAAGAGGCAGGTCACTGGAAGTGTGACTTGGAAGGATGTATCTCCCTCCCTCACTTCCCCCTTTTCTCTCTGCTTTCTGGCCACCAGGAAGTGAGCAGCTTTCCTCTACCAAGACTCTCTGCCGTGCCATTTCTGCCTTGGAGCCAGGTGACCATAGACTGTGAGCCAAAATAAATGTCTCCTACTTTAAGTTGCAGGTGGTGGGTATTTTGTCCAAGTGACTAAGACACTAATGAAGGAGGCATACATATTCTCAAGGTAAAGGCCCTGGCTTGGCAGGGGCAGACAGAATTCCTGCTCACATTCTCTTGCAATGACTGTGCCTGACCATATTAGCTGAAAGAGAGGCCGTGAAGAGTACTCTGGGTTTAGGGAGAGAGGAGAAATAAATTGTGATGGCCAATTAGCCATCTACTGAAATAACCTTGCTTCTTATTTTTAGCATCAACTAAAAGAGACCCTCCATTCTCCCCTGCTATCAAACCTACCCAACAGGTCCCATATAAGTGGGAACTAGGAGGACTGGGTCCCTAGGTAGCCCCAAATAGAAAGTGGATGTTTCCAAGCTTTCAATTAGAATAATGCAGTCATAATGATCCTATCACTTAATTCCAAAATGCAAACATTCTTTCTTCGAACCTTTCAACCAACCTCTGTGGTTTTGGATATTGTTGATCAACACTCCTTCCTGGCATGCTTTTGTGAAACTTCAATTTACCTTGCTTTGATGACTTTGCATGACCCAGGGTTTCCTCCCACTTCTTACTCCCCTTCTCTGATGGCCTTTCTCATCCAGATCAGAGCTTCTCAAATTTGTGGTCAAATTTCTTGGGCATTCTTGTTAAATTGAAGATGCATGCCATAGTTACTTTTCTCATCACTGAGACACAATATCCAACACCCACAAGTTAAAAGAGTAAAGGTTTATTTTAGTTCACAGTTTGTAGAGGTTTCAGTCCATGGTTGTCTGGCTCCAAGGCAGAGCCGTATGGCATAGGGATGTGGCAGAAGAGAAAGGTCCATGGCATGGGAGGCAAGAAGCAGCAAGTAGCAGCCTTCCTTCTTGCATTTCATTTTTATTCCATCCAGCTATAAGCCTATTGGTTGGTGCCACTTACTCCCAAGGTGGCTCTTCTGTCTTCAGTAAATTCATTCAGCCACACCCAGAACTATGCTAATCCAATCAGCAGACTAATCCAGATATCAGACACCCTTAATCCCAGCATCACATACCCTAATCCAGCCACCTACAAAAAGCCCCACCTCTGTGCACATGAGACTTTGGGGGGACATCTACATATAAATCATAACAATGTGGATGTAGCAGGTCTGGGTTGGGGTCTGAGATCAGCATTTCTAACAAATCTCCTGGTGCTGCCAATGCTCCTGGGCCAATGATGACACTTCAGCAAGACTCGAGAAGAAGGTATTTTCCAAGAGTCTGCCCTTCTCTGTCACAATGATATCACTGGGGGGCTGATACTTTCCCATCTATTTTCTTTGTTTCTTTTTTTTTTTGGTAGCAGAGATTGAACTCAGGATCTTGCCCTTGGGAGGCAGTTGCGGTGCCAACTGCGCTAAATTCCCGGCTCCCATCTATTTTCTTGCTCAATGCTCTCTCCTAAATTTCAAAACCTTTATTTCTGACTTCTCAGTGTTCACATCTATGTGGCTGCCTTGAAAACCTTTCAAACTCTTAAAATGTCCAAATCTAAACTACCATCTTCTCAAAAAGTAGCTCCTCCTTTCTATTTCTTATAATTATCTACAAACTCAAAACTTCTATTTGTTATTTCTCTTTCTACCCCCAATTAATCAATTACAGCAGTTGACAAATTCTGTAGATTCTGCCTGCACACTATCTCTCAACTATGTCCTTTAAATTCACCAATCATAAAGAAAAGGCTTTCCTTTACTTCTCTCAAACTTTTAAACCTTGAAAACTTAAAACACTGAATTAAATACAGATTCACCCACTTGCCATCTGTGGATCACTCTCCTTTGTCTCTGCTGCTTCTCAACATACTCTATAGTCTTTGCTCTTCCTGGAACACAGCTCTCCTTGGCCTTCAGGTGTGTCCTCATGCTCTTGCTGTAAAACCCTACCTCCCCACCTCCTTCAGAGTCAATCCCCCTGCCGTCTTCATGCTGCCTTTCTTTTCTGATCCCTCGGATGGACACCAGAGGTTCCTTGACCTTCTCTGCAGATCTTGGTATTTTGTATGGGACCTATCTTGGCCTTTACCATAAAGCTATTTTATCTTTGTTTTATTTTTTACTCTAGGAGAACAGATAAAGTCAACTCCCCTCTGTAAACCTCCCGCACTTTACCTACGTGAGGTGTTCTATGAGATGGATCAAAGTGATTTACGGAGACGATGCCGTGTAGTGGAACCAGAAGTGGAAGCCAGTACAGGTGGGAACCAGCTCTGTCATCAATTGCCATTTGCTGGAGGGCTTTGGGTTAGTCACTTCACCTTGCTTGTAAAATGAACTAGCGCTACCGACGGAGTATCTAGGTAGACAACGGGACACCACCGCGGGACTGTACAGAGAACTGAGCAGCGTTGCTTTCCCTAGGAGATCTAGGGAAGCACCATCCCCACTTCACACCAGAGCCAAGGGCTCTCCGAGACCCCAGGAGCCGCGGGGGAGTGGCCTGGAGCCCTAGTCTCCCGCCAGGCTTCCCTCCTTCCACGCACTCTGGGAGAGAGCCCTTCTCTTCCCGTGACCCCGAGGCCCGCGGCGACGCCTACGTGAGCCGTTTGGACCCTGCCAGGCCCCCGTAGCTCCCGTCTCCAGCAGGTGGTTCTGGTCCTCTCACCAACTCCGGGGGGCACGTAGCCCGCGAGCCTCCACGCAGCCGGCGCCGCGACCCACTGGGAAAATAAACAAACCCCGCGCGGCGAGGGCGCGCCAGGCCCCGCCCCGCCTCCGCCCGCGGCCCCTCCGCCCTCCGCGGCCCCCTCCTGCCTCCGCCTCGCCTCTGGCTCGCTCCCGCCGCGCTCTGCCCGCCCTCCCCGCAGCCTCCGCTGCGCTCGCCAACGTCCTCGCCGCGCCCGGCGCCCCCGCGAGCCCCCGGCCCCCTCCAGATCCGCCGAGTCTCAACGCCCGGAGTGGCCGCCTGCTGGGGAGGACGAGGCCGAGCGAAGGCCCAGTGAGTACGCGGCGGCCCGCTCAGGGGTGCGCTCCGGGGGCCGGGCTCGCAGGGCGGCGACTCGGCCTCGGGCGGGCGCTGGGCCCGCTGGCCCGAGCGCGGGGCGGCGGAGGGCCGCTCTCGGGCAGGGCCGCGGCGGTGCTGGGCGGGAGACAGGGACCCAGGCCCGGCCGAGCCCGGGGCCGCGAGTGACAGGTGCTGCTGCCCCCGCCGCCGCGGCCGTCGCCCGAGCCTCCGCTCGAAATTTCTGGAGCGACGACTGACTCGCTGTTTTTTGCTTTTCAGGTTTGAAGCAGCTGCTGCCTGAGCTGGGTATCGCCCGGCCCCCGGTCTTCCTGTGTGTAGTTGCGAGTAAGTTTTGGAGCATCGGTCACATCCTGCAGTTGAATTGGGCTGTCTTTTGGGAATGAGGTACAATGAATTACTCTCAGATGTGGGACCAGCTACTGAAAAGTAAACGAGCAGCATTGTTTTTTGGGGGGTTTTTTGCCGTTGTTGTTTGGAAGTTCTTTCAAAATTTGGGGAGATCTTTAGCATTTAGGATGTTTAATAAATACTGAACCGAAGTGATAAAATAGTTTATTACACAGCCTGCCATTTCTCTGCAACCCTTTTTCTCCTGTTACCTTAATGAGATTTTTCAGTTAAGGAGTAATGCTTTCGCTACAAGCACTGAAGATCGTTTTTCTTATAGTGAAAAGTCAGTGACTTTTTTCTACACCATTTGCCATTGCATCATTATATAGTAAATATGATTGCAACCAGAATCGTCCGGTTAATAAATTTGACTTGTAGCCATAAAAATATTTGCGAAACCTTATGACAAATTAGAACACTATATTAAAAATCTTTATAGAGGCCCAGGGATTTAGCTCAGTGGTGCTGCCACCTGCCTCGAAAGCGGAAGGTCCTGAGTTCGATCCCAGGTTAACCCCCCCCCCCCAAAAAAAACTATAGAAATCTAGTTTTTTTTCTTAACAACTTTATACAACTGAGGGTGGTAGTGGTTATATCCTGTTCAATGAGATGTTCTTGTCATATAGGATCATTAAAAACTTAGCTATATGATGCAGTTGGTGCCCTCAATTCCATAGACTTAAGAGCAAGAACCTAGTTGATCAAAAGAACAGTGTACCTGGGAAAGTGGTCCAGAGCTATAATCCCAGGAGGATCACTAGTTTGAGCTGACCTTGCCTAACTTAGCAAGATTCTGTCTCAAAAAATCCAGATAGCTGGAGATGTAGGTTAGTGTAAAGGTCCTGGGTTCAATTCCCAATACTACCCTTCAAAAATATTGTGAGCAAATAAAAATACATTCACTTTATTCACGAGGGAAATCCTTACATCCTTTCTCAGTACCTGTTTGTCCTGTATGCCTAGCTGGGGGGTAGGGTGATTGGACACTGGTGATTAAACACAGGGACCCTGAGCCACATACCCAGCCCCTCCCCCCCTTTTTTGAGACAAGGTCTAGCTGAATCACCCAGGCTGGCCTTGATCTTGCAGTCCTGTCTCAGCTTCCCTGGTACATGGGAGATTGTTGCTGGGAATTGAATCCAGGACCTCAGGGTGTGCCACACAATTGCTGTACCACTGTGTTACAAATTAATTTTAATTTTGGGGGGAAGTTTAATTTTGTTTGGGTTTTTATCGTGAGTGTTGGGGAATGAACTTAGGGCCTCATGAATGCCCCTCATCTACTGAGTCATCCCTCCCACCCCCAAGAGGATATCTTTGAGTGCATAGGTAGCTGTATACTTGGGGGGTATAAACATAACATGCAAAAACCCCACTAAGTTCAATAAACTTGTCTTCTGTAGTACTTGTCAGGAATAGGAAGAAGAGGCCTGATCTTGAAATCAGGACCCTGGGGGGCTAAGCATAATAATAAAAAGATTATTTTTATGGAGTTCCTTTATTAGTAGAAATAAATAAGAAATATGGAAAATGATATGGCTATTGAGGGGTGAATTAGAAATTTTAAGTACAAGAGATAGAGGGCATCGCAGGCAAAAGGAATAATAGCATAAAGATAAGAACAGGTTGACTATTGTGTTCAGGAAATTCTAAGTAGTTGGTTTTCCTGGAGTTCAAATAACCCTAACATATGCCATAATATTCAGTAAGTCAAATAATTGGCTTTTTGGATATTGAGTATAAAATGAAAATTTCATATACTTTTGACATCACTGTAATCTCAAGTATACAGGAATGAATGGTTTTTAATTATGGTAGTTATTAAATTATAAAAGATAATAGAATAATGAATACATTTGTGAGTTTCTTGTATATTTATAATTGTGAACTTATTTGTATCTTAAATTTTCACTTAAAACATTTCTGTTTTTTTAATTATCTTGTAAATTTCTTTTGTCTTCAACTTCTTATACAGTACTAATTTTCTTCTTTTTTAGAGGAAAGGTTTGTTTTATTTTGACTATTTTTTTGCAGTGATAAGGAGCAAACTCAGGGCCTTTCTGCATGTTAAACAAGTGCTTTAACAGTGATTGATACCTACTGCCTTGAAGTTTTTAAAAGGAAATTCAAAGGGAAAAGAAGGGAAATACAAAATAATTATTAGATTTCTTGCCTAACATGCATTAGGCATCATATTCATACTAACACAAGTATCTTAGTAAAGGTCCACCATGCTTTCATTTGCATTGTATGTCTTACTATATCACATAGGAATATATGAATGAACATGTAAATATCTAAATTTTAAAGACCAAATGTGTTTTAAAAAGAAAGAAAAGGAAAATAGAGGCGAGAGAAGAGCTATATTTGGATCATTAATCCTAATATACCTCAGATATGGCTGAAAGTGGAGAGGCAGAAGTGTATGACCCAAGACTGGAGGAATACTAACCTCATCCAAGCCCTGAAATAGTGTCTTTTAAAAGCCTCTCGTCTTCATGGTCTCTAAGGTTTAAAAAAGAATTATAAAGGAATTGTTGGATTATATGACGTGATCATCTCTTTAAATTCTTAAAAATTAATGAATGTAATGTTCTCCTAAAAGCATGCAACACAATTAGTCCTTGACAGTTGTTCATTGTCATTTGACTTCTGCATCACTAACATAAAGCACTAAAGTGTCTCATTGTCACTTGTGACCTGTAGTTACCCTTTCTAAATTTTGAAATGTAATCTAATTTTGATTACATTATGCTTAACATTTTAAGTTTGAATATACACAATAATTTTCCCTTTTCAAGGTGAATTTTTTCCTTGTAGAAGTGTATTGTCATTGTAGACTATTTGGGAAAATTGTAAAAATCATTTTTGTAAAGACGAAGTGTAGTAAGTAGTCTCATACATGTCTTTCTTTTTGGTAGGTAGACAATGTGCATATTTTCAAATTGAGTATGACTTATATATGTTATATTTCCATCTTTTATTTAAAGTTTACATTTCCCATCTACCACTTGGAAATACTGGTTAGTGTGTCCTTTGACATGGCATGCAGATTTTGCTAGTGGTTTTTGAATAGGTGATTTGTCTTTTTTTTTTTAAAGAACAGCATGAAGTATAGATTGAGCCCTTTGGTTGTCTCATTTCCTAACCCTTTAGCTGCAGACTAAGAGCGATATTTTTTCTTTAATATTTACTGTTATGTAAAATATAACACAAGTGGCTGCCACTCTCCTGTTCTTTTTTGCACCCTTACCCAGATCAAACAAGGGATAACTATAGATCCTTCTTTACATTCTGCCTTTTCAGGATTGAAGTATTTGGCACAGTGGTTGTTGAGCCTTCCCAGAAAAATGATTTTGTTTTTCAAGTATTTATCATTGGGTCTCTCCTCAGTTCACAGCATTTATTCTAATGATTTCTTTTTGCTTTTTCTTTTGGTATTTCTTTTCACTCATTTAGGAAATACTGTCTACTGGGTGTCTGCAGTTTAGGACAGCTGTGATTCTTGGAGTTAAGGTAAATTGATGTTTTCCTCCTGTAGTATCTTAGGTATAATCTTTAGGTCTCTGACTTGTGGCAGTGCCTGACTGTTCAACGACTACTTCATGACTAAACACCTTTTCATTTCAGAGATTAAAACCTTAGTTTCTAGATGGGGCACATACTGGTTTGAGTTTTAGAGTATGTTTTGCAGTAGAGTCAGACGTTCTCAGTCACAGTTTTAAATCTTCAAAATCTTTTCAAGATTATTAGAAAATTATGCTTGCATCTATGAATATAAATTTTAATGTACTATACTATATCATTAAATGAAAATGTTCAGTTCCTGATCTGGACTTTTAAGTGATTATTTCTTCTGAGTCCACAATAAAATTGTATTAGTAATAAAAAAAAATAATTTTTGTTGTCCGGGTATTCAGCAATTTATAGACTCTTAACAGCTCTTTAATACAAAATAATATAAATAGTACAAAATTTCCTGTGATAAAGTGAATTTCATGTTCATTTGAATTTTTTAACTTCAAGTGTTTTAAAATAGTGACAAGGCTATAATTGGTAAAAAGTATATTCATTGTTTGACCAGTCTGCATTGCAGCTAGATTTTATGCTGTTAATAGGGCATATCCCTGGCAAATAAGGAAAAATATCAATGTTGAGATTTAAGGCCGTTGGAACCTTGGTCAGTAGGAGATGATGGACTCCACTCCTGACCTGGTGTTTCCTGTATCATGTACTGCACCCTTTGGGCACCTGGAACATAAATTCTTCCAATAGTTCTGTGAGACTTCCTACCATAATGGCAGCAGTTGTCTGATGGAGTAGATTTTTAGGAGGTTGAGTGCTTCCTTTGTCACAGTTGACAAAACAATCTGAGCAGCATGTGCAGGAGCTATATACCAGATGAGGTTCCTAGCATCTGAGGGTGACTAGCCCAGAGGCCATGACTTCTCCAGGGTTTTCCTGGCTGTTCAAAGGCCTGGAAAAAACTTTTAGGATACGCTGGTTATGGAAGCTCTGCCTTATACCGCAGAACAAAAATTTCTGTGAGCTTTGGAGGAATGTGTTAGAATAGAAATTAGGAACATTTTATGAGTTCTGCAACTCAAATACAAAGTTCATGGTTTTGATATCAGATGTAGAATGGAAAGGAAATTTATGTAAGTTATGGTAAAGCTAGGTTGTAATGCAATAACCTGAAAATTCCAGAAGCTTAAAGCAGCAAAATTGTTTTCTCAAGTTAGTAAGGGACTTTGATCAGTATAGTTTCAGACTCTTAACAGATTTGACCAATGGAGACTCCATTTCAGCATATCCTTTCATAATCAAAGACACAGAAAATTTGGTGAACCACTGACTTTTAAAGCTTTTTGAGTAAGTAAAGTAAGTCATGCCAGTATTCAACAGGGAAGTGATACATAATTCTCCTTCAGAGAGGAGCAGTGACTATTTGTGAGAGTATAAGAGCAACCACTTGAATTTTATAGCCCCACATTTATATCTAGCGGTAGTTGTTAAACAGCTGTATAGAATCATTGTACCTAAAGTGCTCAAAACAACTAAAACTTTAATAAGATTATTTTAGGAAGCTACTGAAATTGAAACAGAATTACTGTTTTCCACATTATTTTTCAAGTCTGTAATTTCTTTTTACTTTTGTAATGTTTTCTCCCTTACACTAATTTATGGTGCCCTTAGGCTTTCAGGAAAGATTTAAGCTTTAAAATGTCAATATATCAGTGTGATGTCATCAGTGTATGTTGTATTTTATCTTGATGTGCATGTTTTTGGATACAAGAACATTAAGTATTAACATAGTATTATAATAAAAACACTTTGATCTAGTGACTGCTCAGTGACATCTTTTAATATCAACTCATGGTATTTCTTCATTGTATAATAGACAAATTGAAAGATTTCCAAATATTTTTCTGGATTCTAATGATGAAAATTTTAATACATATTTTTCATTTTCTTTCCTGAAGACAAACTATAGTATGTGGTAAGATTTCAAATGCTTGGAATGGTATGGTGCACAGAGACTAGTAAACTAAAAGCTAATGTAGAAAGTTTCCTTTGGTTGAGGGAATTTAAGGTCTTTTGCTGTCAATTCTAAGCCACAATCTCAAATCAAATTAAAGCATTTTTGACATATATGAGAATATTCTTTTCCATTTATTTTTGGAAGCTAGGTGTAAACATGTAGGACTAATGAAACTGTGTACAATGAAAAATGGTATTCCTTCTTTTCTATTATAAACCATATTGATATTGGATGTTTTTCATAAATATTATAGTGTATGTTAGAGGTATTTTAAGGAGAGGAAAATCATGATTTTTTTGAAATTCATAAATGAAAAAACAAACACATTATATCGATGGTGTTCTTGCAGTAATTATCTGTGAAAAACTTTTTTCCTGAGTAAATTTGTATAGTCAATGAGACTCTTGAGAGTGGATCCAAATACAGTACTACTAAATCTGATGTCAAGAAAAATGTTGTACATTTATGGTTGTTTTAAAATTTAGAACAGATTTTACTAAGTACATTTTCTCATTTTTTTTCTTCTCCCCACAGGAATTATTCTTGACAGAAGCATTTGAAAAGAAAAATCTGTACCATGGCCTCCGCAGTACTTAGTTCTGTTCCCACTACAGCCTCTCGTTTTGCCCTTTTACAAGTAGATAGTGGCAGTGGTTCTGATTCTGACCCTGGAAAAGGGAAAGGCCGGAATACTGGAAAGTCTCAAACTATGGGAAGCAAATCAACTACAAATGAGAAAAAAAGAGAAAAAAGAAGAAAAAAGAAAGAACAGCAACAGAGTGAAGCAAATGAGGTAATAATTAGTTATTCTGTTCTCTGTTTTCCCCATGGACTGTAAGCATCATGAGGACACGAAGTAATTTGTTCATTTGTAGAGTCATAGTACCTAGTTCATAGTATCCAATATTTAAATTTTACTTGAATGGATGGATGTCAGTTTATGTGTATTTAAAGTCAAATGTAGGAGCATTTTTTAAAATGCCTTTTTTGCCTGTAGAAGTGCATGTGTTCATTCCCAAAAGTTTAAAACGGGAAAGTCTTTTAAAGGAAGCAAGCCAGGTTCAGTGGTGTGCCTGTAGTTGTAGCCCTTGGGAGACTGAGGAGAGAAGATTGTTTTAGCAAGTTTAAGACCAGCCGGGGCAATGTAGCGAGGTGCCATCTCAGTGCCTCACAGTGCTTCTGGCGCCCACGCGGCTCACCTTCTCTGCCCTAGGAGCTTGGGATGGCAGCGGGGGAGCTTCCTTCCGGGTGCTGGGTCCAGCTCAGCTTCTCTGCCTTAGGAGCTTGGGATGGCGGCAGGGGAGCTTCCTTCCGGGTGCTGGGACTGGCTGAGCTTCACTGCCCTAGGATCCTGGGATGGAGGTGGGGAGCTTCCTTCCGGGCACTGGGACTGGCTGAGCTTCTCTGCCCTAGGAGCCTGGGATGGAGGCGGGGACTGCATAGACTTTCAATGGAGTTTTTAATCACCAGGAAACCTGTTTGCATCTGTTTTATGGATTCCATTCACTTCTTTTGTTGGGATTCCATCATGTTCCTCAGCTCCTCTCTAGATTTATTAATCATGTCTTGCACTACGAGCTCAATCTCTGCTGTTATCTGTGAAATTATTTCTGATTTCATTTTTTCCAGATCCCCTTTTGTTGCCAGTTCACAGAGTCCAGGTCATTGAGTATCAGAGTATTCCATCTCATTTCCTTTTGGGGTTGCTTTAGGTGATCTGGAAGCCTGGTTTTGAGACTTGTTTATGTGTCTTCTCCACGGGGGGTCGGGCAGTGCTATTGGGGTTGGGCTGCGAGCGGTGGAACAGTGGACTGGAAGTGCCTACCTCTTGCCTAGGAGCAGTGGATCAGCAGCCCGCAAGGCCCTCTGTGCTGGGAGTGGTGGAACGGGGGCCCAGAAGCCCCTTCCTCTGGGCTGGGAGCAGTGGAATGGCATCCTGGAAGCCCCTTCTGCTGGGCTCAACCCACACTTGTTGATGAATTCACATACGAAGCACCATCTTGCTGTAGTCTTTTAGATGAATAGTTACAAAAGAAACCTCCCCACGGTGCAGGTTGACTGTGCATCTGCTTCCGCACCGGGCACACCTAAAATTTTTAATTTTGTAAGCTTTTTAAACTGTATTGTTTTGCATTTTAAAAGCACATTGAAAAAAAACTGTTCTCAAATGCTGGAGGGGCAGTGGAGAAAAAGGAACCCTTTTCCACTGTTGATGGGAGTGTAGAATGGTGCATCCACTGTGGAAATCAGTGTAGTGATTTCTCCGAAACTAAAACTAGAGGTTCCATTCAACCTACCTATACTTCTTCTTGGTATCTTCCCGAAAGAATTAAAAGCATCATACCACAGCAATATATGCACACCTATGTTTATAGCAGCATAGTTTGTAATACCTAAATCTTGGAAACAGCCCAGATACCCATCAATTGATGAGTGGATAAAGATGTGGAGTTTTTTAAAATTCAATAGAGTCCTACTCTGCCATAAAGAAGGATGAGCATCAGATATTTATAGCTAAATGGATGAACCTTGAGGCCATACTCCTGATTACCATAAATCCAATACACATATTTAAATACCACATTGTTTCTGTGGTGTGAGAAATGGAAAGTGGAAATAAGGACTGAAATGTATGGTGGATGTTGGGAAATGGGAAGAAAGTGTTCATATGGGAAGGGGAACAAGGGAAGAGGGAAGTAGAATGGAAGGGACATGAAAAGTGAAAATAGAGGGGGAAATGGAAAGAAAGCTTTTGTACGTAGGGAAGGGCGAGGGCTTGAGTGGGAAGGGGATAAAATAAAATAAAATTTATTTTTAAAAACCTATTCTCTACTTTTGTAAACTCTTGTAGTAAAGAGAAATCATTAAAATCTATAGAGTAAACCAATTTTTGCTTAATCATTTCATCTGTACCTCTACCAACATCTGAAGTGATGGCAAAGGTAATATTCTGCAAAGATTATAAAAAACACAAATAAGGGCTGGGAGGGTAGTTCAGTAGTAGAGCACTTGCCCAGCATGTGAAAGGCTCTGGCTTAAATCCCCTGCCCTGAAAAAAATAAAACTACAGAAGTAAACTACCTTAAATTAGTCCCTTGTGGTGTAATACATCAGTAGTCCCAGAAACTCCAGAAGCTGAGTCAGGAAGATCACTTGAGCCCAGGAGTTTGAAGCCAGCCTGGACAATTTAGCGAGACCTGTCTCAAAATAAAAAACAAAAAATGGGCTGGGCATGTAGCTCAGTGCAATAGCCCTTTGTTCAGTCCCCAGTCCCACAAAAATAAAAAATAAAACCACAAATAACTATTTTAGTTGTGTGAGTTAACATGAGTATTTGGAGTAAAGTATAAAAGTGCTGTATGTTTTTAAAATTCCAAACAATTATTGATCAAGATTGTGAACTAAATTTAATATGTTTTGTTTTGTTTTGCTTTATAGCTTAGGAATCTTGCTTTTAAGAAGATTCCCCAGAAATCCTCTCATGCCATTTGTAATGCTCATCAGGACCTTCCATTGTCAAACCCCATGCAGAAGGATTCACGAGAAGAAAACTGGCAAGAATGGAGACAAAGAGATGAACAGGTACAGCTAAGTAAATAAAATCGCTTTGCTTTATTTTTCAGTGATGTTCAGCATTTCATCATGGCAGTACATCTGAATTCGTGCCACCACTTTTCTAAGGAACAGTTTGTACTGGATTAATTCACATATGTTTGCTGCTTTCAATAAGAATTTCTCTCTCTCTCTCTCTATTTTTTAATGTTTTGACAATTCAAAGTAGTATATTGTGGAAACTTTTCTGTTTTTGATTTTTGGAGGTTTATTTTGTTGCTAGGGATTGAACCAGGGCCTTGAGTGTGCTGAGCACACACTCTACGCCTGAGCTACACCCCTAGCCCTGTGTTGTGGTTTTTTGTTTTTTTGTTTTTTTGAGACAGGGTCTCGCTATGCAGTTCAGGCTGACCTCGAGCTCATTATGTATGTAGCCCAGGCTGGCTTCAAACTGGCAGTGATCCTCCTGCCTTGGCCTCCCAAGTGCTGGGATTACAGGCATGTGCCACCCACCAAGCCCAACCTTGTGTTGTGTTTTTAAATTCATCTTTTTTACAATTGAAAGAAGGAGAAGGTAAGTGAACAGGATTAAATTATTTCAAATTTTAAAAATTATATTTGTAGGACTAGAGGTCTCTTATTTTAAAAAGATCCTAAAAATTAAGATTTTGAAGAGAAATTTCCTTTTTAACCTTGACATAATATTAATGACAAATTGTTTCTTTAATCTATTTATATGATATGTAATTTTTCTGTATTTCTATCATATTAATAGCCACGTAAACACTCTACTAAAACCAATTTTTTTGTTGTTGTCATGTCTGGGAAAATAAACCTGGAGTATACTTTAGGAGATGTATATGTGTAAGAAATGAAACATTTATTTGCTTATCTGTTAAACTATTGTAGAATTTGTAGAGAGAGAGAGTTGTTCTAGTAGATGTTTAGTCTATTAGAGTGAATATTCCTATCATTCTTGGGCTATCAGTTTTAAAAGAAGTAGATAATACTATAGTATCCTCTTAATATGAGCTTTTTTTTTTTTTTTTTTTTTGTGGTACTCGTTATCGAACTTGGGTCCTTGCGCTTGTGAGGCAGGCAGTGGAACCACTGAGCTAAATCCCAGGCCCAATATGAGCTCTTTTAATTATAACATTTTCTTTAGGATTTTTACTGTATTGTCTCAGACTCATCATTATGAGTACAAATTATTACTGTAGAGCTATGACGTAATCTCCAAAAGACATTTTCAAACACTAATATACAGGATAAATCATCTCATGCTACGTCTAGGAGATAAGTGATTCTTTTTTTCCTTATACAACATTTATTATGACTAATTTGTGTTTGCAAAAGTGAATGTTATGATAAGCTACCTGTTTATATAGTTATAGAATTTACCAGTGTCTTCACTGGTAAATTGAAGTCTTCACTGAGGGGAGGGGGATACCGGGGATCGAACTTGGGACCTTGTGCTTGCGAGGAAGGCGCCGGAACCACTGAGCTAATCCCCAGCCCAGCTAAATGTAGTTATTAAAGGGAATATAACCCATTTGAAGAATTTGTCTGGAATCAGACCTCTGGTTATGAATACAAAAAATAGCAAGAATGTAGAGAAATCAAATAAGTATTTAAAATTTTTCATCTCAATAAAACATATATAGTTCCAGGTGTAATTTTTAAAAGTTAAAGAGAAGAACTTAGACAGAGTTCTTTTCTCTATGAGATTGAAATCACTTGAAGAAAAAATGACATGGTTTATGTAGCAGAAAATAGCAGCCGGGTGTGGTGGCACAAACTTGTAATCCCAGCACTTGGGAGGCAGAGGCAGGAGGGTCACCAAGAGTTTGAGGGCCAGCCTGGGCTACAGAATAAGTTCAAGGCCAGCATAAACTGCATAGTGAGTCCCTGTCTCAAAAAGACAGGAAATTACAAAGATGTCTATAAAATTAGATGTTAAAAAGCATAACAGACAAACATGTTGTTCTATCAATAAAAACAAATAGTTGGACTTACCCATGAAGAGAAGACAAGTTGGAACAAACTGCCTCAATGACACCTTGATCTTAATTTTAGTCTTTCCTTTTAGTCATTAGAAATTGTTATAGATTGAGACTGAAAAAAAGGTTCTGGCTACTTGAGATATTTTATATTTTGCTGAGATACTGGAAATTGTATCCAAGGCTACTAGAAATTGTAAAGAAGATGTTTACTATTGGTATCTCTAAAGCAATATTTTAATCTCATTTTTCATTTCATAAATTTGTATCAATTCCAGCATACTTTATTGCAGAAAAGTAGTCTTATATCTCTACCCACTTCTTTGTATACATGTAAATATCAAAGGTTAACCCAGGCCTAATGGTGCCCTCCTGTAATCCCAGCACTCAGGATGCCAAGGCAGGAAGGAGGATTGTGAGTTTGAGGCCAGGCTGAGCTAATAATGAGTACCAGTCTAGAATTTCTCTGAAAAAACAAAAAAAGATATGTTTTACACTTATTAAATGAGTAAGTTTTAGGGGCCGGGGATTTAGCTCAGTGGTGGCGCCACCTGCCTCAAAAGTACAAGGTCCTGAGTTTGATCCCCGGTACCAAAAAA